AATAAAGACCAATTAATGAATGATAGAACAAAATTATTTTTTCGTAATTTATTAAAATTATTGTATTAAAAATTTTAAACAATCATTCATAAAAATGGTTGAAAGCCTCAGTAGAAAGACAAAGAAAACGTAGGCAGATCGTAGGTATTCTGTTTGCAGCTGACGGACACCTCATCATTGACTACGTGGACGAGTACGATGATTTTGGGGACTCAAAATGCTCGCTGTGTCAAAGGAGGTTTGAGGAGCAAGGTAAATGATCCTCTAAGCAGTGTGTGATTTCTAGTTTTTTCAAGTGCAATGACTACAATTAGAATATTATTACTTCTATTATATGAGTTCATAAAGGACAAGACCAAGTTTGCCAAAAATATTCGCTTGATGACGATTAATATTGCTTAAATTAATATTGAGTATGATAATTTTAAAACAATAATTGAATAATTATTATCAATTAATTTTTACATAATCTGAGCCTTACAATAATTTCATTTTAATTGATTGAAGTTTTAAATAATAGTGTTATAGTATAATAGTATAATCATGTCACCGTACTATATCACAAGTACATACTCCATTATTAAAAACTGTGATTATTGTATAAAAGATTATTTTATTTTTAAAAATTTCTCTTATTTGATAAAAGGAGGTAATACTTTTGTATGTAAATTTATTATTGTTTATTTATACATAAAAAAAAACTTTCAGTCCACATATTAATTTGAAAATGTATTTAAATTATTTCAAACAGAATTTTTTTAACTATTACTTTTATAAAGTTTTAATTAAAATACTGTTTAATCTAAATAAAATTTAATAAGTACTTAAAAGTAGAGCTATTTAAGTCAAAACTTATTTCATTTCTATGTTTTTAGAACAAATAAATTTATTAACATGTACGACCATTCAATATTCTCCAAATTCTTTTTTCTTCTTCTTATTTTCATTGTATATTAAATCTTCATATATTAAATGTTCTGTTAGAACTTAACGATCAAAATTAAATCATTCATAGAAATAATTGCTAATAATATAATTATAAAAGAATATTTCAGAATTTTGTATTAATTTATCTAGAATTGTCTTTAAAATAAATGATTTCAGACATCGTATATTATATATCGTAGTTAATATTAAATAATATTGATGATTGAATTTTAGATATCTAAGGAAATATTAAAAAGTTAAAATTTCCTGTAATTGTTAAATTTATTTGATTTAACTTTTTACAGGCTTCTGCAACCTTTTACATGATAAAATTAGTAAAATTTATAGTATTATGCTAATATATATTAACATGGTTTTTTAAAAATGTAATATAAAAAACAATCAAAATATATAAAAATTAAAATTTTATTATATACTGATGAAAAATTAATTTTGTGTACTAAGTAATTTATAAACTATCAAATATATACATTTTATTCTGTATAAGAATTTTTATTTTTATACCCTTAATAGCTTGATCTCATTAATTTTAAATAATTAACGTTTGCTTATGCTTTGTACTAATGTTATTTAGATATTGTAGTAAGATATTTACAAATAGCTGAAATTAGTAAATTCCGTAATGAATTTTTGATATTTTAATTATGTATTAATAAACATTATTGTTTTTGTAAAAATAAAAATAAAATTCGCATGCATGAGCTGAGTTACATAATTATTTCTTAAATGTTTAGTAATTAACAGATATATTAAAGATATAATAACTATAGATAATATCAATATATGAATAGTATATATTGTTATAATATAATTATAATATAGATAACAAGAAACTGACTGAATATTACATTATATGAGTACAATAAGTTAATAGTGTTTTATATACTATAACTTATTTTGAGTGAAATAATACTATAAAATTTTATTGTATTTGAGAAATTTAATATATTATTTTAAATGCATTAAGCAACCATATAAATGACAATAAATTTGTAATTATGAAAGAATTATAATTTATCCAAATATTTTGAAATAATGCTTATCATTTATATTTGTTTAAATTTACAGTTACCAATATTTTATAATTACTAACGATTTATAAAATTTATTACATTTATAAATCTTTATATAAATAACATTATTTAAAGATGTATTTAAAAAAAAGTTATATAATATATAGTAACATATTATTTCATATTAATAAATGATGAACAATAGTTTTGCTGTATTTAAAACAAGATTTTTGAAAGTTCTAATTGTTTACAATTTAAAGCATATTGAAACTATTTAAAGTAAGTAGTAAAGTATAAAATGTAAAGCCTAATTAGGGTATAAAATTATTATTATTATAATAATTTAAAATTGAGAATACAATTAAAAATAAATCACAATATTTTTGATTCCATCTACATGTAATTTATTTAAATTATCTAAATTCTCTACGTCCCTATATCTGTAAGTGAATACGTGGGTGTACCAGTATTGGATTATTTTATACTAAATTTAAGTTATATACTATTTAAGTTATATACTTATATACTAAATATAAGTATTTTATGTCTGAGAATAAATTTTCTCAGAATAATAATATAATGCATATTAGTATATAATTTTATTTTTTATTATTCTATAGTCTAAAGAATTTATTGAAATTAGCAAATAAATGCAATAACTGAATAATCTTATTTAAAAAATCAATTATTAATTTTAAGTTCAAAATAAAATTATTTCTTAAAAATAATTTATGGCACACTTCTTTCAATAATTAAACGAAAGAAGGCAAATTTTTTTATTATTAGATTCAATTTTTCATTGAATAATTTATTCTTCATTTATTCTGCAGGTAACTGTTTTGCATTATGATTAGTAATTTCACTCGATTGATTGCTATTATGTTTACAAATTTTGAAGTAGTATAATATTAGCGTGGAGAATGTGGGCAAATATGAATGATCATATAAATAATATTGTACATAGAAGTATAGGATATTTATAATTAGAAAGAATTGATTTTGACTATAATTTATGGATATATATATATATATATAATCAGGCATACTTCTGATTGCGCAATATATAAATTTGTTATATTTTATTGAAAATATTTTGTTTGTTTAAAGTATATATATTATCAGTATTTAAGAATTATTAGAATTGTTGGTGATTTCAAAAAACTTTTCACTTTATTTCAATTATATTAAAAAAAAAAAGAAGAACTCAAAATGACATTAATAATTTTATTGATTTTATATACTATTATTTGAATACTGAGTACCGATTTTTGACATGAAAATTGAAATCTTATATGCCAATGTAACTTAAAAAATTCATTATTTATAAATAAAATTTGTAATATTATAAACAATAAAAAACATTACAATAAAATGGTAGTGATAATCTGTATTATATACAAAAACTAAATTTACTATATTTTACTAAATTAATTGTTTTAGTACAATAAATTTTTTATATTCTCGATATTTAATACAATTAAAATATATTATATCATAGAAAATAATAAGTTTTTAATTTTATATTGATTTTGAAAGAAGCATATATATATATATTAAGTAACTCACAAGTGAAATTACCACAATTATTGTGGCATGAGTTTTCTTTTAATAAGTATCATTATATAATTTTATTTATAATTTATTATTTCATCTTTATATTTTTTCTAATAATAGGCATCATAAGTAATATTTTCATTTATGCAAATATATTTAAATATTAAACAATAATAAAAATTATAAAAAAAATAATAAAAATAATAAAATATAAACAATAATATAAGAATATATGAATTATAATTGAAGACATTTAAAAGAAAACAAATGTTTTTAATATATAGATTAATTAAAACTTGCAGTATTTTAACTACTTAATGTATAATTTTGAAGGAAATATAGAACCGGTTAGAATAAAACTAGTACACATCATAGAATACAATAGTTCCGCGTTGATAAATCATACTGATAATAACATTTTTCAATCTTATATGATTCAGAGATTTAATAAATTTTTTCAAAGCATATTTAAAAAAATATAAAACACAAACATCTATGTAATATAGATAATAATATTAGATATTTAATCGCGTACTAGGAATAGGGTGGAAAAATGGAATGCTAAATTTATAAATAATAACTAAGCGAATTTATTGCTTTATCACTGGAAAAACAATAGATTGTACATAAATTTAAATCTGTTTCGTCTTATAGTTAATTCATACTATAAATAGGTTAAATAAATAAATAGTCATTAAATAATTATGAAATGAAAGCTTATTCGTTTACAGCAAAAAATCGTTTCGAGACACAAAGAATACTTTGTTGAGTAATTTTTTAATATTGAATGGATCATCTTCCGCGCATGCATAAATTAGCAGAAAAATTGTTGTTTAGGTAACTTAATTATAAAGTTTGCAATGTCAAGTCTCTAATGGTAAAATTTAAGATTTTTTATTTAAAAATTTTTGATTTAATAAAATCTAATATTAAATATATTTAACTTACGTTATTTTTAAATAGTAATCTAAAATAAATATCCCTATAGTACCTTTTATAGTAAATGCATCTTTTCGATAATTTTTATCTTTTTTTTTTTTTTTTATTTTCAAAAGTTTCGTATAAATTGTATAATATAATCTTATTCTCAATCAATTATCAATATATAAAATAAATAGGAGAAATTGAAAAATAGTTTATTATCTGCCAACGAAAAAAGTAGTTCTTATTTCGTAAAAATTATTTATATTAATTTATCATTACTAATAAAACGACTTGTGTAACTGTAAGTAGAGTTTAAGACTTTGCAGAAATAGATAATAATTAATTATATTTAAATAATTATTATCTCCGTCCGTATACAGAGAGAAATTTTTGACACTTTCCTTAAACATGTGGCGAATTAGATTTAAAATGAATATATTATTCGATACATTAGCAGGACAATAATGCACCTCGGCCCTTCATTCCTCTCTGAATACGGATACATATAACATACACTTACAATTTCAGGAAATGTCGATCAAAATCATATTCTCGCCGCAGGTAATTATAGCTGTCTGAAAGTGGACCTCATCTTCACAAGGGATAGAGCTTTCTACTTCACGACTGTATTCATCCCCGGTATTATACTTGTGACCAGTTCCTTCATTACGTTTTGGTTAGAATGGAATGCTGTCCCAGCGAGAGTCATGATTGGTAAGAATGCATCTACGTCAAATATAATTATTCTTCCAAACGAGGAGAAAAACATATAGCAAATGGAAATGTCTGGTGTTTTCAGAAACAATGTTGAAAAATGAAATAAGTTTTGAAGCATTTAACTTTCTGAAAAATTTGAATAATTTTTAAATTATTCGATTAATACCACAGGTGTGACTACTATGTTGAATTTCTTCACGACCTCAAATGGCTTTCGTTCGACACTTCCAGTTGTCTCAAATCTCACAGCAATGAACGTATGGGACGGAGTGTGTATGTGTTTCATTTATGCCAGCCTCCTTGAGTTTGTTTGCGTCAATTACGTGGGCAGAAAGCGTCCTCTTCACAATGTGGTGTATCGCCCGGGCGAAAACCCCGTTACACAGGTACGTTACCGACCGTGACTGAGATGCTGTTGCACCGTCGTGCACATGGATTGCGCTATCATAGCTGCCGTGGGTTTAATGATGTGCATAATTTGATCATTCACCAAAAAGCCTTAAATCTCTATTTTTGAATGCCTGTAATTCCTATAATCATATCACTATTATAAAATACAAACATTGAAATTCACAACTTCTTATACTACTGAAAAATAAAATAATTGAAATTCTTAATTACACGCGGAATTACATTCTAAATCCTCCGGACATATCTCATTAAAACCTTTAATCTATACTTCTTAGGATCTTACATCTTAAAAAAACAATAATAATTTAATTACCAATGATATTCGCATAATAGAAATACATTCTTAAATTCACGAAACAACACACATATACACACATATAGGAACATTTTTCAAGCATATTTTATAATACATGCACGTGAAAATATTAACTGAGTTCGATTGATTTAAGATGAACTATATATAATTATTGTGCTTTACTAATATAATTTTATTGATTAAAATTGACAATCATCAGAAAATTTTGTTTAAATAATGTGATTTAAATAATAATAATTTAAAAAATTAATTAATAGATATAATATGAAATAATGAAAGTGGGTACTAAAAAATAAAAGTTTTTTTTTTGTAGCGACATATGTAAAAAAAATATTTTCCATTACAAGGCTTACATACTAATTTACACTATTCAATAGTTATTTTTTTATAAACTGATGATACATTGTAGTTTTAAAATAAATGTTCAAATATTCACGTATTCAATTTATAATTATACAGAAATAAGAAAAAATTTAGTTTTTTAAGTAATTTACATAAAATAAAACTGCAAATCATGAAAAAATTACACCAAATAAAAACAAAATTAAGTAGAGTGTTCAAAGTTGATTAGAATTGTATCAATTCTGTTGTTTTAAATGAATTTAAAAACAAGAATAAAAGGAGACATGCTATAATGTCCCAAATTCAAATCAACTTGAATAACTAAAAATTAAATATTAGTTCACAGATATTTATTTGTTACAAAATTTTTCACGTCCTATACTACATAATTCATAAACAAAATTTATTTGTCATCCTAAAAATGATAGATACTACTTTTTCGCCAGAATTATTATATTTATTTACATATAGGTAAGTATGAGCGGATATATTAAGAAAACTTTCTTCTTGTTTCTGTTAGTTTAAAGGTTGTATTGTTAATTGTTTCAATAAAATAACATTTTTTGCATAAACATTTAAACCGATCTTATTATAATACAAAAATGAGTTAATATATTATTAAGTATTGAAACATACACTTATTGTATCATCTATTGATTTTTATTATGAAAGTAAAATATTTTTGCAATAATAATATTATATAGTTAAAAACTTCGAATATCGTCGTATAATTAATTAATTAAAAAATGATTACCAAATTTTACTAGATTGCTATCATAAAAAAGTTATTATGTATTTTATTAAATCGCTATCAACAAAAATTTTTGTGTATATTTTATTAGATACATCGAATATATTAAGATTCTAGTTTTTAATCATTATTGTTATCAAAGTATTTCTAAATAGTAATTTTTATATTATTTATATTATGCTTTTGCTTTCATAGAATCTTATTTTATTTGTAATATTTCATTAAAGTTTTGAACCATACATTTTTTATTAAAATGATTTTTAATAAAATATATTTATAGGATAATTTTTTCTACTTGATTCTGGAATAATTTTGAAATATAAAATAAATATTACAAAGAAATTATTCCAAACGTTTGGTCGGTATTACAAGTATATTCAAGTAAATTAGTGTAAACTGAAAACGAAGTGCTATATACTTGAATTTTTGAAAAAAAATATCTTCATGAAATAGGTATATAATGTATCTATATTATCTAATAGTAATAGAAATTAATAATAATATATATTTAAATATTATAAAAATAATTTTTTTAATTAAAAAAAATAGATAATGAAATACCAATAACAATTTAATTTAATAATTTTCTTTTTAAGTCAGCTTTTATAAACATAAAGAATAAAACTTCATGTTTTATAATTTTTATACAATTTCTTAACTAACAATACCGTAAAATTAATATAATTATAAAATATATACTCTATATTTTAAATATTAGATTAAATATTGCTGAATCATCTGTTTCTGCACAGTGAAAATTCAAAACAATATATGATTATCTGTTTGAGTGTACTTTAAATCATACGTATATATATATATATATATATTTATAATATTTGCACTATAATTTTTTATTATTATATTATTAGTTACATATTACAACATTTCCTATTAAATATTTAAATTTTTTATTTGCGGTTATATTATATTCGTTTCTATTAGTAGTTCAATAATTAATTTTTTTCACATTTATTTATTAATACCTTTTAAATATTTGTCCATAATAAAAACTATTGATAAAGAATGTTTTTGATAATACGATGAAAAAAATAATAATATATGATAAATCAAAACACTATAGAAATACTGTATGCTTGTACTGATTAAAGGTATACTAAATATCTAAGTTTTCAAATAATTTTTTTATTCAATGTTTTTAAAAATTACACATAAAATTAATAGATAATTATAATTATAAAATAATAAATAAAATAATTTGACCAAACAAAAATTTAAGTTGTATTGGAAACTTTTATAATTTTAAACATTAGAAGTAGATTTTATGAAAATAAAAAAAAATAATTAAAATTAGTTAATAATTAATTATTTGAAATTTATATTTAAAAATAAAAATATCAAAACCCATTATACTGTATATGAATTTTTATAGGATATAAAAAAAAATACACTTGTGCTTTAATCTTTAGATATCTAATAAATTTATTCACATAGTTAATCCTATAACTTCGATATTAAGTTAACGATAGTATAATAATAAATATAATCATATATTACAGGAAATTAATAGAATAAAATAAAAATATTGCTGAAAATTTCATGCCAACTTTCGAAAAAATATTGGGCATGTATGTGAAAATCGATTTTTGTATCTACACATTTTCGTATTTACAGGAGTATACGTCTTTTTTATATTGGAAATATGTCTTTAATGATTATATCAGTAAATTTATATGAATATATATAGTTAGTTACTTTATATAATTTGATATTGTTAATTTTTATATTGAAATAGTTATTCTATAAGTACGAATATTCAATACACAAAATATATAAATTTTCCAATCATCCCTTTGAAATGTTATTCTTTACGCGTATATAGGTTATACATAATTATAGTTTTTTCAATATATATTGATTTAAGCTAAACATTGACGCATTACCCAAAATCATATGCTTTCAAAAAAGTAATCATTAAATATATTTAAACATATTTAGTTCTATCTATTTTCGTCTATTAATCTCCGATTTGAAGCTGAAAATTAATCATAGATACGATTAAATGATTGAAATAAATATTTAATTATTTTCAATATATGGTGTCAAGTTTATGTTTATTATACCAATAATTCTATGATTACATAACTATGCTGTTATATAAAATGATTTTAATCATATACATAAAATTACTTACGAATTACTATTTCAGAAAAGGAGGTTTAAAGATATTTAAAATTAAATATTAAATCATTAAAAGCTTAGTTTTATAATTACAAATGTGCTCTGTGTGTTTGTCTGTCCGTCTTCCCTTCTCTCTTTCTCATTCACTCATTCTCTCAATCTTTCTCAATACCTCTTTCTTTCTCTCTTTCTGTGTATTTTATCTTCCTTGTTTCTTTCTTTTAATTTTCAAATTTTTTCTTTCTACATATTATTTTCTATTATTTGACGCCTCCAAATTTGCAACGCCTTTTTGTAATTATTTTCATATCATTTGTATGTAACTTACTTATATTTACATTTTATATTTATTTTCAACATATAATAAAATTTAAGATTTACTCAAATAACATTAAAAGTTTTCTTTTTCTGTTTAGAAATATAATAAATGTAGCATACTCTTATAGATAATTTGTTAAAATAATATCATTTTGTACGATTAGAAAATTGATCTATGATTTATTAATTATTTTTTACTTTTTTTCTAATCTATTTATTTTTGTGATGAAAATTAATAAATAAGTATAATAATATTATTTATATTATTAAAAAAATATATTTAATAAATTAATACAAAATGTATTGAATGAAATTATAATATATTTAATTTTCAATAAAGAATATCTATCTTTTTTGATTACTAAAAAATAAGATTGTTTTAAACTTAAACTGTTTTATAATTTTTTTGGCATTTTAATTATAAAACTTTAGTTAAAATATAAATCTATTAAAAATTATAGTTACTTTTCATATTCCTTATGTTTAGTATGCATATACGATTCACAATATAGGTGACCAAAACATAAATTTATTTATAATTAGCTACAAATTTATTACTACGGTAGTAATCTTTTTAACAAAAGAAATTGTTCTTTATTAAATATTTATAGTTTTACTATTTAATGATCTACTATTTATTTCGTATAATTTGATACTCACTATTGGTTATATTGGTTATATAATAATTGAAAGTACAAGAAAACAATTAAATTCTATAAAATATATTATAATATATTTCGTAAAAAAACATTAAAAATTTATAAAATTATTTAAAAATCGATCAATAAAAAGTTTTATTGGTGAAACGGTGGTAAGTGCCTTTGTTTGGTGTCTGTGATGTTACAGCGACTTCCAGCGGTGCTCAACAGGATAGGAATTATATTGGCCAGCCCCTTGGTAAGATCCTTGCTGTTTTCACCACTCTCTATCTGTCTGTCTCTCTTTCTGTCTTTCTGTCTTTGTATGGCTGTTTGTCTGCCTGTCGGGCTCTTTCTTTCTCTCTCTCTCTCTCTCTCTCTCTCTCTCTCTCTCTCTCTTATATATATATATATATATATATATATATATATATAATAATTCCATCAATACACCAATCTATCAATCTGTCCTTGTTTACCTAGATTTTTCTCTCTCCTACTCTGGATCTACATGATCTTCTTGCTCTTTTTGCTTCTTTCATTTTATCTAGTTAATTGTCACCATCGATCCCCTGGTTCATCATATTAGTAATTCAATATTAGTATCTTTAAGCTAAGTAATGTAAAAACATTTGCCTATTTATTAAATTTTATTTGACTTATTTATATATTTGCTTAGATCGTTTCAAAATAATTGATGATTGCTTTGCAAATCCAAAGTCTACTTTTTGCATACTTTTCTACATTACTTTATTTATTTCACTTAAAATAATAGTACAACATCTAAATTTAAGCATAATATGTATGATCGACTTACACTTTTTAAATATTTTAATACGTGCTTCTGCAGCAATCTATTTTTAAGCTTCAGTCTTAAAAAATATATTAAAATATTTTCTTTTATTTCTTCGTTTCTGAAATTTTATCTAATTTTTCAGATTGTTTTTAAATATCATTTATTACTTACTTAAAATATATATTTCATAAAAAATAATAGTGCAAATTATTAAAATTAAAAAGTTCAAAATAAAATTGGAAAGATATTTAAAAAAAATGTTTGTAATTGATTAACAAATTCAATATATTTATAAAAATAAATAAAATAAATAAAATTAATTATGAAATTATAGAATTCAATATAACAAATATCTAACTATTATAAAAAAAAACATTTAGTATTTGAATATGAATTTCACCTTTTTATTATAATCCATATAGTTCATATTAAGTAATATATATTACTAATAATCTAATAAGCATATTTTCAGTTTTTACCTAAATATGCTATTAAAATAAACCTAATGCAATGTTACAGGATGAAATAAAAATATATCTATATATACATTTATTTATATGTTAAATATAGATATAAACTATGTAGATTTATTTAAATTATTAAATTTTGCATTTATAATTTCAGCATTTACCAATTCATAAATATTTATCTAAAGCATCTACAAATCTTTATGCAATTCTTTTTTCTACTATTTGAATTGGCTGTTGGAATGCGCTTGTTGAACCAATTATAAGAAAGCATTTTTTAATTTTATGCTATGGTCAATGCTTAGTACATTTAATTATAATTATATTTTATTTTCATCAAATTATATTATTTTGCTTTAAAAATATATTTAAGAAATATGTGTTACTGTATAACAATATAATAAACAATTTTATAAATTAGAAAAAACCTATTTAAATATATATTCAGTTTGATTAGATCAATTTGATTTCAATTCTTAAAAATATTTATTAAATATTGTCTCCAAATTTTCTATAAAACATTTAATAAATAAGTATTTTTTACAATTATAACTATTAAAAGATCATCCACGTAATTGGTTTTATATTTATATTTTTTTTCCTTTTTTAATTATCTCTATTATATCATATGAATATTTAACAATAGAAACAATATACAAGAATCTTTATTCTATAATTTCTTTGAATAAAATTAGTGGCTATGTATGTGAATCCATGGCTTATTTCTAATATATAGAAATGATTTTAAAAAAATTTATTTTTTATTATATGTTATTATTTTTTATTATTATTCAAAATTTAAATATAATGGAAAAATTGTAATAATTACGTTAAATTCATATTATTTATTTCCAATAATCAAATTAAAAAAAATTATTATATTAAAAACTCAAATATTCGTTATTTTGTATTATCCTGTATTATTCTTTTACTTGAAAATCAAGATAATTATTATTAAAATAGAGTCGTAAATTTACATAATAATAATGTTCATAATAATTGGATTGTATACTGAAATTATTATATTAATTTAAATTGTTAATTATTATTTACTAATATAATTTTTGGACATATTATTAATTAAGTAGTTTCTTAATATATGTTTCATACAATTTTTATCAATTATAAAATAAATTTTCGCATTAATATTTGATTAAGACTTTAATTCATAGTATAGCATTGTAATTAATATAACAGCATTTCTACCGTATGTATAACATCATGTATACGGTATAATTTTTTTCCGTTTGAACCTACATATTAAGTATGATACTGCACGGCATATCGAGAATAATTTTTTATACATTTTAATGCATGTATTTTGTATTGATTATTTAAAATTATTAAAAATATGCATCTCTATCTTGCAATGGCAGAGTAAGCTACATTAAATTTTAAGAAAATAAAAATTTCATAATTACTATATTTTTTATTTCTATTTTCAGAAATAGAATTATAAATATTTACTTTAATAATTGTACCTCATTTGAACAAAGTTAAATTTTATATTAACTGATAATCCTATTAAAAAATATACACTTATAATAAAAAATTGTGAAATTAAAAATTTTTATTTTGCAAGTGAATCTGTCCTTATTTATTATAATTCCATTCTCCTATTAATAAGAAACTTATTTAATTTATTAAATCTTATGAAACACGTTTTGCATGATATTCTCCCATTGACATGGCAAATTGTTATTGAAGAATATTATATACGGTAGATGTCCTAGAATATTATTATACAATTTTATTTATTAAATGATTTTTTATTAAAATTTCAATTATTTTAATAAGAAAAATATTCCTACAAATAAATATCAGCTAATATAAAATCACTGAATAAATTTTCACCGTATAATTAAATTTGTGCATATCCATATAGAATTAATATATAATAAAAAGACAATTCAATTAACTCTGTTCACTTTAAATAAGGTACTCAAATAATAGTATATAAATTATCAAATGTAAAGACTGAACACAAGAAAAAAAACTATTTACTTATGCCTGGAAATAATTATTTACATTCATGTTGTAGGTTTATTTAAGAAAACAAGTAAAGTTTACCACAAGATTTATTATTCTCTACGTTTTATGTGTATAGATATTCATTATTCATAAAACCTTCAATCACTTTAAATTCTGAATGGTAGAAATTGAAAAATGGATATTCGAATTCATATTAATGTATGATAAAAATATTTAAAAACAAAAATAAATAAAAAATTCGATAGTAAAAATATAAATGCTCTTGCATTTCTTAAATTATATATTTTTATAAAAAAAAATTCAATACGCATTACGAGAATGTGACAGAGCTTCTTTATAAATTATTTAAGCAATAATTAGTATGATGTTCATTCAGATACAATATTAGTGCGATTATGTTGCATATTATAATACTATAGAATACCTATATACCTATAGGTTTGTCACTAGCCTATGTAAAAATGCTTATAAATTTGTTGCTTTCTAGCAGCTAATTAACTTTAGTTCTCGTTTTTCATACTATGCCTTTTAAATGTTTCGATAAGTTTAATCTATAGTATTCTCTTAGAATTTTATATTTAAATTCTGGATTTTCAATTCCATAAACTATTCATAATTTTTAAATATAAGTATCAATCAAGTATAAATATCATACATTTTCTAATGTTTATAAACTTTTAAGACGTTGACCTTACTACACCGTTAAGCCAACGTTTATTACAAAGTTATCTACGAGTTATCACTCGTATTTATTAATAAAAAAAATATCTTAATAGATAGTTTATCTATAATAAGACACTTATTTACTTCATTAAAAAGTGTAAAATCATAACTAGACGTATTGTGATCTATTTTCATCTTTATAAAAGTATTTAGAATTCTTAAAATAATTTTACTTGTATTAATTTCTTTAACAACTCAGCAGCGATGATAATAAATATTCTTAATCTATTTATATACATTATCTAACCTAGTGCTTTATTAAGTTCGTAAATTAAACTTCGTGTTCCAAACAAATTTATGTAGCCCTAATTTATCTAGATTCTTGGTATTTAAGCATTTAATGTAATGCGTATTTCAATTACACCTTTTTTTTTTACTTATTTTTATTATTTTTACAAAGACAAAATATCTATATCATATATTTAAATGTGATATTTTTCGTCTTTTATATTAAAAATTTTTAAACATATATAAAAATTCTTCATTTTATGTTCTAATAATATCGATGGTATCTCATATAGAGTAATAATTTTATGATTCAATACACTAATTGAACATTATGCTGTTAAAATTTGTAATATACTTTCGTTGATATAGATTATTAATTTCTTAAAATTATTTATGCAATTTTTTTAATATAACATTTCGTTATATTTTTGTGAATTTAAAATTTATTTGTCTAAGATCCGAAATATAATAATGAAAAATCTTTTCCTATAGTTCTATAAAGAAATTTCTATAAATTTTAATTTTTACATTTAATTCGTATAATACTAACCTATTACGTATAATAAGTGTATACATTCTAATAGTGTTATTTAAAATTGATAGAGAAAAATAAAATGTAAATTCAAGCTCTTCTTTTTGGAAAATTTGGAAAACTAAAATTATGGGATTGTCTGGGACAATTGCCGAGTACGTTATTGAACACTTTAAGGATTTTAGATATCGCTGGCATGATCTCGCACTCAAACCACTTTTAGTAATTTCATTTGCTTTGCAATATATTAACATAACAGCTGTTTATGATACCCGCAGCAATACCGTATTAATAAAAACCAAAGAAATACCACTTCAACATTTTGAATAATTAAGTATAATATACATGGATAATCTATTCAATCAAAATACTCTTCATTGTTTTATACCTCAATATATTTTTGCACATTTTTGTTACATTATAAAGAAATATTTTTATTAAAAACAGAACTGTTTATTTATAAATGTCAAATTTATAACATTAAATAAGTACATTTAATGCTTCGTATTAAATTTTTATACAATTTACAAATTACAATTATTTTATAAAAGATTCTTCTTTGTCATTGAAAAATAAAAACTGTTTTTTTTACTGTTATAGTAGTTAATTCTTTAATTTTTATTTTAAAAATTAAAAATTATTTAATTGATACGGATGATGGATGTAAATAATTTGTACAAGATTTAATTAGAAAATATTACCACAGATGTCGCAAAACTTTTCGTCATATTTTTATTTTACATTACCAAATAATGCCATGCAACTGACCCCAAATAAAGCTTCACTGCAGCATATACATACACGAACATTCTCAACTTCATAAATCCATTACAAATAATTTGTTAATGTTTTATTATATTTTTCATAGACATTATATATACGTATACATGTATACGAATGTATGTATATGACATGTCGATTTATTTAAATAAAATATTTTTTAATAAATTACTATTTCCTGTCAATTACGTTCAAAATAATATTATGTCAGATTCTGTGGAATTTTTTGTTAATCAAACACACATATATATATATATATATATATATAATTCATTTATTCTTAAGAATTTTGAGCCTAATAAAACAATTTTTGTAATAATATTGTTAATGATGAAATAATTTCAATATAATATGCGTTATTTTTTATAATATACATGTATTTTTAAATATAAAATATAATAGGCTTATTAAAACTTTTCGTTATGCGTAAAAATATTTACAGGATAGAAGAAATTTAATTCATAAATAAGAATAAATTAATTAATAAATAATTTTATTCTTAAGCATTTCATCGTCTTCTTAACGTCTTTTTAACGTAAAAAATATAAACAAAATAAAAATTCATCATTTGTTCAAGGCTTATTAAAGTTCGAATTATCATATTCAAAAACATGTATAAATATAAAGGTATTTAAATTTAAATACTAATTTGTATATTTAAATAAATAATAATAATATAATAATATTATAATAAATTTATATGTGTAAAAAGTAATTATTTCAATAAAACATATAATGCTAATACTAATGATAGATATTTTGGAGAATATTTAATATTTTCCCTTAAGTTATTTAAAAAAAAAAGTGATTTTACAAACTTTATGTCTACCACAATTTAATAACACAAGTCATTTTTAATTATAGAAAATAAAATTTTATTATAAGAATTAATGAATTTAGAATTTTATAAATTATTTATATCAATATAGTAAATATTTTGTAAAATATAATTGACATTAGTAATGCTGTCTACAGAATCTGGCAATATAAAATACTAAATATAGAATTCCAATATATATATATATATATATATATATATATATATATATATATATATGTACGTATGTATATATATTACATTGGAATAATATTGAATTTTTACTACATAAAAATTTATTTGATTTAATTGATCCAATTTTCGTTATCGTATAAAATATTTAAGTCAAAAATAAAATATAAAAATAAGAATTAGAGGCAAAATAAAAATATTAAAATATAAAGAAAAAAAAATTTGTAATTAATAATATATAAATATCTAAAATTATTATCTAGAAAATAACGTTTGTAAATCAGCAATAATTTTTATCACAATTTTTATCCTGATGGATGCACTTTTATTTAATAAAGTTTATATCTATTAAAAAAATATTGATAAATAGAGTTTGAGTTAAATTGTGGGGCTTTACTATAAAATAATGCTTTTATTTAACGGAAATAAAATATTGTTAAATATTGGTTACATGATAAATATTCTAATTCAGAAATTTATAGCTGACCTTAGTAATTTATTTTTTCAGCAATTTATAGAGAAATACACCAAATCTTTATTAGCCAATATTTATTACATCAGTGTACTTTCATTTATTTGAAAAAATCTTTAATTTATGTATTATTATTATAACTAAGGTGCATTATCAATTATATAACAAAATTTTACAACCAATCAAGCTAACAAATTCACTTCATTTCAATGTGTAAAACCGTACCAATAAAGAAGAGAGGATATTATTTTTGCATTGCCACTGGTTCTGTATACATAAAAGTTCTTTATAAATAAAAAATATCTTTATACTTTATTTTTGCATTTAATGAATAAATCAATATCTACGGAATATATATAATAACAATGTTAATAAGAAATAAGAGAGCAATGAAAAGGAATTGAATAACGACGATAGAAAATTGGATCGTTCGTCGGTATATTATTGTGAGATTCTGCTACGAAGACCCTGTCGCAGGGGCAAAAGAAGAGAGAAGGAGGAGCTGCGACGAGCACTGGTGGTGGAGCCAACGAGATCGTAACCTGCACAAATTGTGGTCCAAATCCATGCACGCACACAGCTACCAATGGCTGCGCGGCCGAGGTATGATAAACCATAAAGCATGCTTTTCTCAATAAATTTTAACGATGTTTCAGTGTAATGCCATCTTATTCTGAAGAGACCAAATATTGAATATTAGTTTAGTATTAAGTATTTTCCATACTTTTATCTACAAAGTTGACAATAAGAAATATGTTTATTTAACATTTTTATTGTATTCAAAAACTCGAAGAAAATAAAACTTTTAATTTTTTAAAACTTTTTAGAACTTCAATTGATTTTTTTTTTTCAAATGTTTGATTTAAAATTTAACTTTTAGTAGTTTTCAAATTTGAAAGTATGTCTATCTAAATTTAGAAATAAATAAACAATTTTTAAAATTACATAATTATTATTTACATTACTTATATCGTACTATGAAAATTTTATGACAATATTTTTTGTTAAAAATAAATGTCACCTATGTACATGTGTTTTTAACAATATAATTTTTTTGTTATATTATTATACTCATATATTTTTATTATATTCACAATTTTTATTATATATCTATAAAAATTATTCATGTTTATGTTCTCGTGTTAATATGCTCTACATTAGATTAACATTTTCTAGCGATATTTTATTTAAGATACTTTTATAATTGTTTCAAAATATAAAATACAAACAATTGTACGAACATTATTAACGTGACAAGTACTTTTTAGTTTTAATAGTTAATAGTTTTATTAATAGTTAATCATTTTAATAATTAATAGCGCAAATACTATTAATTACATAAGTGATTAGTAAATATAAAAATTTTCATTCAAAAAATCAAAACACTGTGTAGCAAAAGTATTTATTATTATTTTATAATAAAAGATAGATTTTCTTTTATGCTTGTATTTAAAATTACTATTAGAAAAAAATATAATCCACTTAATACACTTAATCCGCAAAATATTTAATTGTAAAATATATATTATTCTTTAAGCAGGTACGGAAGAAAGAGCCGCCACATCCTATACGAGTAGCAAAAACAATCGACGTCATAGCGAGAATCACTTTTCCGGCAGCATACTTCGTATTTCTGACTTTTTTCTTCATACACTATAAAGGTGTTTCCTAGAACGAAGCCTTTCAAGCCTACGAGAAGCCTCTGCCAACAGAATCATAATGTTAACAAGTATAAAACGATATTGAATTCAACTATATAGACGAGATACTTGTCACTTGATTAAGAAAGCAAACAAAATGTTAATATTTCCTGAAAAATAACAGAAAAAGCCTGCTGAAACCAAATATATTACATAATAATATCAAAAAAATATAGCAATAATTTGATTTGAAAACAACCTCAGATTCATAAACACGTGCATACGTGTATGCGGGCGTACGCGTATACTTGATGGGTAGGTTGCATACACGTGTTGATAGATTAATAATAAAAAAAAAAAATAAATAAATAAATATATATATATATATATATATATATATATATATATACATACACATATATATATATAAGTATATTTATATTTAGAACTATAGAATTATATAAAAAAAAAGAGGAATTTGTTAGTATTCTAGAAACATCCGCATATTTTAAAGTTCAAAACCTAATAATGGATATTAACCTAATAATCTTTATTATTAGTGTGTATGCATTTTCATTACAATTGCATAACCAATTTTTAGTATTATACAAAAATACATGGGAAAAAAATTAAATACTTCGTATTATTTTGCAATTATTATTTATCATTGCACAATTTCCTTTCGGTAGATATTGTGAAATACAACAAATATAAATAATTTATAAAAAGAAAAATATGAAAATTATACATAAAATGGTAAAATACAATGTTTATTTAGGATCTTGTCCATATGTGCATGAATTTTATGCATAGGAAAGTAATGAAAGTATAAAAAATATAAACACGTCGTACTCTATTAACGAAGCAATCACTTATTACACCAGCGCGTAATGGCTATAAAATATAAAAGAACCAAATGATTAATTGGCCGGCGCTCGCGTACGGACTTGCATATACACGAATATACGAACGCATGTAAGTGTATTACCTGCAATGAAGCAGGATTACTATATTCGTTTTTTCCGCATGATCATCCGTGTATTGAATTTATTCATGCGATATAATTATATATATTACATTATTATTGTTAATGTCATATGTAGCCAATATAATGAAGTAGAGGGTGTATGAAATATTTGTTAATACTTTAGGTATGCATTAATTACATACCGTATGAATTTTATTAAAAATCATAAGTTACCAATGTACTTACTTTGTTATTAAGTGATTGATATAGCTATAGATGTTTATAAATATCATTGTTACGTTTACCTTACGCAGACACTACTTTATACAATATGTTGTACATATATAGATCTTTATTCTTGTCATATTGTCATATTGTTGATATGCATATGTACATACATATAAATATATTTATTTATTGTTATGAGGACCATTTTATCAATATTAATATAAGTAGTACGAATATAAGCTTAATCGTTACTTAAATTAAGTATTTTGTTTGGAAAATCTCAAACTCTAACAAACAATTTCGTTAATTTGTTTTAATTATAATTTTTTTAAATAATTAATTACTTTCTCATAATTGGATGTATACTATTTCATATGATTTTATTTTCATTATTTGATTAAATTTTTTTTTATTTTTATAACACACAGAAAGGCGAGAGAGAGAGTGAGAGTGACAGAGGAGGGGAAGGCGAAATTAGGTTATTTTAAATTAATCTTTATATTTTGAATATATTTTAGTTTACATAAGTACTAGAATTAATAATATAGTCAATAATTATCCAACAAGAGCATACTACCGTAAATAATGAGTACATATTGCATTACTTCAAATATATTATAGTTGCAATTTATCAACTTGTTCCAATAAAAATTTCTAAATAAAATTTTTTAGAATACTCCAATGTTTTGTATAATTGTCACGCTAATTTTTTACAAATTAATTCATAACATTTAATATATATTTAATACAATCATATATTATCCAATTATGGAAACGGAGTGTATGATTTATTTTTCTGAACTAATATTATCTGTTTTTTTATAAGTAATATTAGTTTAGTCTATTCAGTATACCAAATGATAGTTAAACTAAAAGATAAATGAAATTTAACATCCAAAAAATTTATTAATTACAAACATTATTTACTATAATAGTATTGAAAGTTTTGTTAAATTTAGATATTATTATGAATTATATTATAAACACGTTATATGAAATAAATATAAATAATAAAAGCTTATATAACAGTTACATGAAAAAGATTTATAGTATTAACACCGAATAATAAATGTTAATATTACAAAACGATCTAATCATAGTATATATAAATTGGATACAATTGTTTATCGTTAATAAGTTTTTGTATTCTATAAATAAAATTGATTATTGCAATATTACAATCTATTGATATAATATAATATAATTCATTATTTAATTGAACGACTTAAAGAATAGCGAAATAAAATGATTGTTCATTTTATCTATTTATACAAATAAATTTTATATTTCTCTGTAATATTATTCATATTTCTATATAATAAAATTGTAATTACTTCATACCTAATATATAATGCCTAAGGTAAAATAGACAAAAATAATGATTTAAAGAATATTGATAATAGTAATTCAAATTAGAAAACTTTATTATTATGTTATATCATATTTTTTATTTAAATAATACGATTTCTTTACTATTTTTACATTCAGTCTAACATATAGAACTAAATATGAAAACTTATAGTTTTCAGTTACATAAAATCTTACAAAAAATGTCATAAAAAATAAAAATTAAAATTACGAAAACAATATAATTTTTTATATATTCTTTGTGTAATAATTTCAAAATAAAAATCAAAGAATATTTAAAATATAATTTTTCATGCATTCTATTTGTTAATGTTAATGAAAGAACTATTGAGAATTGAGAAATGAAGAAACTATTAAGTTTGCCATGTACAATATATACATTCTTCAAAATTTCATTACAAAACTTATATAAAATCGAGTTACAAAAAATAAATTGATTTCAATATAAATGAATCCTACAAATAAATTATTGCTTTAGTTATAATGACAACAACTATATTTATAAATGATGGTATTATATGATACATTATTATCATATTTCATTTTCTAATTTACATAAGAATTTTCGACAAATTTCATGATAGTTCATAGATTTTAATATATCTATATGAGTCTTATAAATTATTTATAGCTGTTATATATGCAAATATTTATTGTTGTTATTGCTTATATATATCTAAATATGTTATACATTATGTAAAAGGCGAAGCGAACTAACTTGTTAATAAATGGCTTATGTTTAAGGATTTTTTTAATACAGTATTTAAAATAGTTCTTTTATGACTTTAAAAATTCAGTTTTTATGTCAATAAATAAACATAATTTATATAATTAAATTAACTTGAAGCTATATAATATTATCTGTAACTAATACGCTAAAATTGAGTTGTCCATGATATATGACAAGTATAATATAATTTAAGCACTTCAATAATACATTCCTTCCCCAGTTTTATTCTCTTTTGTATATATATAAAATTTAATTTCATTAATTTACATAAATGTCATGTGAAAGGAAATAAAAAGTATATAAAGTTGAAAATCCATACATATTTTTTATAATTTCAGCTTATTATTATCGTAACTTGTTATATATATCAGAAATGTTTCTTCTGGAAATAACTGCCAAAAAAGAGTTCGTAAATCAATGCCACAAGTATATTTTTTATGCCGTGATAAATTATAAGAATGTACCTCTAAATAAGATAAAGTAAAATTATTTATCTTTAAAAATAACAAGAAGGTGCTGAAAAAATTTATAATTATGATCACGATTCATATTGTACGAAATATTGTCTATGCGCATTGACGCTCTAATTTATATTACATTATATCACAGTATTTAACTATTTCGTCTCCATTGATTAATAATTTGTATATAGAATTTATTGATAATAATAGTAGCGAATTTATTATTAAAAAGCGTACTTATTACGATATTTTACTGTAGCTTAAAATTGTGTAACTATTTATATTGTACATAATGTAAGTTATAAAAGAAGGTTTAAATTATAATGTAAAATCCAAAATATATATTAATTGGAATGCTTTTTTCATATAAGCTTCTGTTCTACAATTACTTTAAGGTATAAGGTATAAAAATATTTGGAATGAACATTTTATAAGTAAGAATTTTATTGCGATTTCAAATTAATACACCGACTTTAATAAAGAAGTAAATCATAATTAAGAACTTGAAACATGTAATATTGTATTTAGATTAAAGGCTTTCAAATTGTCAAAACGAATTCCTAGCTTTCATATGCTACGCCCACATAATTCATATACAACGTATTATTTACTTTAAAGTTTTATTGTAAAAATAATTATGGAAAACAAGAATTAAAATTATATGGATTCATGAAAATAAATTCCAGTTATTTTGGCTCCTAATAATTCTGTAACATAAAATAAAGAAACAAAACTTTACATTATCGCAATTATTTTACTGTGTTAATCTGCTTTTCCTGTTTGCATTTAAAAAAATATTATTATAAATTAACCTTACATAGTATCATATAATATCTAAAATATTTCTAAAACTTATTTATCGTTATTACTAATTGCAGCATTTATATTTGGTATAATATTACGATCCAGATAAATCAATTAATTTAATTTAGACTGTTCATAAGCTAAATTTCAGAATATGTATTTCGTATATACAGAATATATATTTACTATTTATGAATATCTATTTTCTGAAATAATAATAACAATTAACAAAAAACTAATAAACATTAAAAACATTAACTAAATAATTTAAAATTATATAGCGTAAACATTTAAGAAAAACAAGAAATAATCTCGATAATTAATGAATAAATGAAAAACATTAAATAGTCATAAATAAATGTTGCATATAAATAATATTAATACAATAAATATATATAAAATTTCATTTAATATAAAAGAGAATTTTAAAATTGTAAAAATGCTAACTTATTCTATCGTAGAAACAGCTCGCACAATTATTGATAGTTGAAAGTAAAAGAAATTATGATTTCAGTATAATTGAATATTTCATAGTTGGTAAAGCAATTGGTTTT